CCTAACGACTGAGGCACCCAGGCGCCCCTAGAAGAGAAGGTTTTACATCAGCCTCAGTGACGACGTAGTCAGCGCTTGGTAAACGGTCGGTCGGTAGGTGTTTGGTTGACACATACCATAGGCTGTGGTTCCCACTTTATTTCCTGTAGGTGGGTGTTCTCTCTCCAGCAAGACCATGGGTTCCCTGCAGTGGTTAGCATGGCGATGAACACTTACTGATCTGCTCTTTGTATATTTTATTTAGAATTTTTACCTGGATAACAAAGGAAAAAAAGAAGGAAAGGAAACAAATGAGAAAATGAATGCTAAGAACAAGGAATCCTTACTTGAGGTAAGTTTAATTTTGCTGAGTGGAAGAAAAGAGAAGGGTATTAACTGTATCTATTTTTAAATTATTTGCTTCTTAGAACAATGGGAGATTCTGAGACACACTGAAATTTTAACTTGGGGCTTTAAAATCAAATTATTACTAAATTATAGCTATTTAGATAATTAAACTGGTTCTTTGAGTCAGTTGTTTAAAAGTATGGCTTTGGCCTATATTTCACTTTCATGAAGTTGGATTAGTAATTCTGGACTAAAACACTTACGAATCCGCATAAAACTCACCTCTTAACGTTCCATGTTTTTCATTACTTAAGTGCACCACAGAAGTCAGATGTAAGGAATTCCAAACCTTTACAGTGAATTCTAAGACGCTCTTCCAATAGCCAGGTGTGGTAGGAAGGATGAGCTTTGGAGTTGGGAAACCTGACACAAGTTCTGGGCCTACCACTGAGGTTCATGTGTTATCGGGCGAGTCCAAGGACCTCAGTCTCCTGGATCATATTGAATTATTACAGCTGTCCCAGGAGGTAGTGGAAGCATTGTGTCGATTACTCTGCACATGTTTGTGATTGTCACTATAGGGTCATGTTCCAGAAGTTCATTTAATGGTTGATTTTTTTTTAAACTCCTAGTGAGTTTTCACATACTAACTATGCTGAAACTCAGGGCTTTGTTCCCAGCACATAATGCAAAGGAGTGCAGAGATCACAGGTCACAGATGGGCATGCTGGAGCCCTAGACAGGTTTTCTTCCTCTTCAACAGTGTGTTGACCTTTTTTTGAATTAGTAGATTTGAGGCTTCTTCTGAAAACTCAGAAGACCCGGTGACACCTGGGCCACATTCACACCTGGAACCAGCTGGCTGACTTTGACGAACACCCTCTCATTCACCAAGGTCTGGCCAGGCTCCCGCACAGGTTTCTCTCCCCACCACATTCTCCCAGCCCTGTACCAGGTGGAGTAGGTGCTAGAACCTTCAGCCACTCCCAAGGTTCTGAAAACATGTTACAGATTCTGCTTTCAGGGGCCAAGAGCACACAGTGGGTATTTCCCGCAGAGGCCCTGCAGTGGGAATGGGGATGTTCTCTGCATTTACCAGACTCCAGGTTGAGTTGAGGAAGAGAAAGCACCAGGTGTCCCTAGCAGCAAGGAGATTCAGGTTCTGAGTGTACCTAGCAGTGATCAGGACTGACAGACATGGAAGGGGAGGGTGAAGTTTCCTGACACAGCCATTTGTTTTTAATCAGTGCTTATCCATCAGCTGTCTGTAAATCAGGGACTGCTTGTGCCTTGATGTATACAATTGCCTGAATAGTTCTTGATACAGGACTTGAGCAGTGTATTAGAAGCTGGATGTGAAAGAAAATACAAAGCATGTTATACTATGAAAAATCAGCATTATCCTGCTTTCCAATTTGGAACAAAAATCTGATTGAAAAGATTATTGACAAGGAAACTAATGCTAGCTAAACTGGGGGGAAATGTGAACAAAAATGTATCCCAGCTCTACTACATATAAATTTACTTTCAGGGTACAAAAATAAAAGTTATTCTACATTTATGAGATGGAATGAAAGGAGGTTGAAAGTTTTTTTGTTTTTTTGGGTTTTTTTTTTTCAAGATTTTATTTTTATTTATTTGACAGAGAGAGACACAGCGAGAGAGGGAACACAAGCAGGGGGAGTGGGAGAGGGAGAAGCAGGCCTCCCGCGGAGCAGGGAGCCCGATGCGGGGCTCGATCCCAGGACCCCGGGATCATGACCTGAGCCGAAGGCAGACGCCCAACGACTG